AGTATCGTCAAGATGTTATTAATTTTTCAGGGGAATAATCAAATAAGGATTAATAAAAATTTGACTAAATAAGATAATAAGCAATTATTTAAATAAATATTAAATAATTTTGGTGGTAAAGAGCCTTATTGTACTCAATTTCTCAAAAGAATCCACTTGAAACTCATCTTGATTAACGCTACCATAATTACTGCTTGAAACTGAATTAAAAGATTTTTCCTTCTTTTTACCATTAGATTAAAGGATTGTAATAGCCCTAATAAATTCTTCTGTAATTCCTTAAATTTGCATCTAAGTGAATAATTCATTTCCTGAAAAATTAATATTTGTGACTCATGTATCACTTTTATTTTATGATTCCATTAATCTTTAGCTGGAATTTCAACTACAACCACCTGGTAAAATTTCCTAAATTTGCTCCTGTGGCTTTATCTTATGGAAACTTACATTCTTAACCTCAAATCTAGTTCTGAAAATTATCTAGTGATGAGGAACCTATTTGACTTTTGCCTAACACTGTTTTCTGAAGACCTCATATACCCGGTAAGAAGTTTGATATTAAAATTTAGATCATCAATACATTTGGTATATATTTATAATTAAATTACATAAACAAATAACATTAAATATTAAGCAAAGATCAATCTTATTAAAGTTAAATATACTTTTTTACATTTTTGCAAAATATTTGCAAGAGATCAAAATGTTTAAAATACTTTATATTAAATTAAATTCAAATGACAGTATAAAATAGCATTAATTATTTTTTGAAGAATTACTTTAATCTATATGTGATCTTGATTGTTAATAAGCAGTTGATAATTTATTGAAACCTATCTTAAGATTATTTCTTGAAAGAGTATATTCATATGTTAAGGAACAAAAATAATTATAAGTTCTAAGTTTTAAGTAACTAAATATGCTAATGATAAATTTATCCATGAAATAACAACCTTTAAATAAATATTAAAAACAATGAGAGGTTTATAAATTGATTCCTTTTTAGTAATTTATTATGCCGTCTATCATGATTATTTTATTCCTCTGATATGTTTCTTCATTTGTTCAAATTATTTAAAATGTTACAATACAAAATGAATTATATTATAATCTAATGTTATTAAAAATACAACTACAACATAAATAATAAATAAATATTTAAATATTTATATATATATTTAATAATATTCATCATCAAACTGATATATAATCCATTAATTTTATTTTAGAACCACTGCAAAGATCAACATATGGATATAATTATTATGATGTATCAATATTCAACTACTAATAATAATTATATTTACAATAAATGTTAATTATGGATTATTCTATCTACTCCATTTAATGTATTTATCTTCAATACATACTTCAATTATAATTATATCATTTTTTGTAAATTAGAAAGATAATTATTTATCATCTAGATCCTTTGTTATGATGAGAGTAAATATAACCATTTTCTTTTATTAAATATGTTCTATTATAATTATATACCCATACCCAGTTTAATATTCCTTTCTATTTTAATAATAATGTTAAATCTATGCCTGCTTGATTAACAAATTCTCCCTTTAGAATTAAAGCTCCAAATGCTTACAATTATGAATTTTGGGAAATGAGTAAAATATTTATATATGAGGTAACTATAATAAAAATTTTAAAAATACTTTCAATAAATGGATTAATTTATTGTAAGGGCAACTTAAATTATGCTAGAAGATCTTTAAATTTTTTATCTGTAGGTGTAATTTATTACCCAGTCTTAATATCCCATAAACATATTGTTTTATCACCACTACGTGATGCTAAAGTAGTTCCATCTGGTGAGAAACATAATGAATCGACCGTACTAGTATGACCATCTAATTTCGCTTTTTATTATCCTGTCTTAACATCCCTTAATCGGATTGAGTTATCATTACTACCTGAAGCGAAAGCAGTTCCATCTGGTGAGAAACAAACTGACCCGACAGAACTAGTATGACCATCGATTTTGGCTTTTTATTACCCTGTTTTAACATCCCATAAACGGATAGACTTATCCCTACTTCCAGATGCTAAAGTATTACCATCGGAAGAGAAACAGACTGACATGACTAGATTAGTATGACCATCTAATTTAGTTTTTTATTATCCTATCTTAACATCCCATAAACGTATAGATTTATCATCACTAACAGATGCTAAAGTATTACCATCACTAGATAAAGAGACTGTATATACAGCTCCAGTGTGACCAAACAATTTAGCTTTCAATTTTCTTGTCTTAACATCCCACACACACGAATGGATTTATCATCACTTCCAGAAGCTAAACTATTACCATCAGAAGAGAAATAGACAGATTTTACATAATCACTATGACCTTTTAATTTATTTATTTTTTATCCTGTCTTAACATTCCATAAAATGATACAGAAATCCCAACTACCAGATGCTAATGTATTACCATCAGGAGAGAAACAAAGTGAGTTGACTGAGTGAGTATGACCATTAAATTAATTCAATTCCTGTATTTTTATATTCTTCCATCTACATTAAAATAATTAAGCTCCATTTAAATTAACTCCACTAAGATCGATATTATAAAAGTCTGACCCATTCAAATTACATCTTACAAAATTTCCACCCTACAATGAAGTATTTTAAATCCTAATATTTTCAAATTACTTATAGCTTAGATCAAATTTCATTTCAACTAATAAGTGTAGTGAATTTGATCCACACACTATAAATTACTTATCAATAGCTGTAAGATGAACTAAAAATTCTAAAAATTAAATTATTGTCTTTTTATTTGCAATGTTAATTTTTATATCTTGTTTAATTGAAAAGTAATTTTCTGTTGAATAATTATTTTTATTAAAATCGTTATCTTTAAT